ACAACAGCAAAGATCAATAAAACTAAAAGCTGGTTCTTTGAGAAGATAAACAAAATTGATGAAACATTAGCCAGACCCATCAAGAAAAAAAGGGAGATGACTTAAATCAATAGAATTAGAAATGAAAAAGGAGAAGTAACGACTGACACTGCAGAAATACAAAGGATCGTGAGAGATTACTACAAGCAACTATATGCCAATAAAATGGACAACCTGGAAGAAATGGACAAATTCTTAGGAATGCAAAACCTTCTGAGACTGAACCAGGAAGAAATAGAAAATACGAACAGGCCAATCACAAGCACTGAAATTGAAACTGTGATTAAAAATCTTCCAACAAACAAAAGCCCAGGACCAGATGGCTTCACAGGCGAATTCTATCAAACATTTAGAAAAGAGCTAACACCTATCCTTCTCAAACTCTTCCAAAATATAGCAGAGGGAGGAATACTCCCAAACTCTTTCTACAAGGTCACCATCACCCTGATACCATAACCAGACAAAGATGTCACAAAGAAAGAAAACTACAGGCCAATATCACTGATGAACATAGATGCAAAAATCCTCAACGAAATACTGGCAAACAGAATCCAAGAGCACATTAAAAGGATCATACACCGGGCCTCCCTGGTAGCACAGTGGTTGAGAGTCCGCCTGCCAGTGCAGGGGACACAGGTTCGTGCCCCGGTCCGGGAAGATCCCACATGCCACAGAGCAGCTGGGCCTGTGAGCCATGGCCGCTGAACCTGCGCATCTGGAGCCTGTGCTTCGCAACGGGAGAGGCCACAACACTGAGAGGCCCACGTAACGCAAAAAAAAAATAAAATATCATACACCACGATCAAGTAGGGTTTATCCCAGGAATGCAAGGATTCTTCAATATATGCAAATCAATCAATGTGATACACTATATTAACAAATTGAAGGAGAAAAACCATATGATCACCTCAATAGATGCAGAGAAATCTTTTGACAAAATTCAACACCCATTTATGATAAAAACCCTACAGAAAGTAGGCAGAGAGGGAACTTTCCTCAACATAATAAAGGCCATATATGACAAACCCACAGCCAACACTGTCCTCAATGGTGAAAAATTGAAACCATTTCCACTACTATCAGGAACAAGACAAGGTTGCCCATTCTCACCACTATTATTCAACATAATTTTGGAAGTTTTAGCCACAGCAATCAGAGAAGAAAAAGAAATAAAAGGAATCCAAATCGGAAAAGAAGAAGTAAAGCTGTCACTGTTTGCAGATGACATGATACTATACATAGAGAATCCTAAGGAAGCTACCAGAAAACTACTAGAGCTAATCAATGAATTTGGTAAAGTAGCAGGATACAAAATTAATGCACAGAAATCTCTTGCATTCCTATACACTAATTATGAAAAATGTGCAAGTGAAATTAAGAAAACACTGCATTTACGACTGCAACAAGAATAAAATATCTAGGAATAAACCTACCTAAGGAGACAAAAGACCTGTATGCAAAAAACTATAAGACACTGATGAAAGAAATTAAAGATGATACAAATAGATAGAGAGATATACCATGTTCTTGGATTGGAAGAATCAACATTGTGAAGATGACTCTACTACCCAAAGCAATCTACAGATTCAATGCAATCCCTATCAAACTACCAATGGCATTTTTCACAGAACTAGAACAAAAAAAAATCTCACAATTTGCATGGAAACACAAAATACCCCGAACAGCCAAAGCAATCTTGAGAAAGAAAACTGGAACTGGAGGAATCAGGCTTCCTGACTTCAGACTATACTACAAAGCTACAGTAATCAAGAAGTATGGTACTGGCACAAAAACAGAAATATAGATCAGTGGAACAGGATAGAAAGCCCAGAGATAAACCCACGCACATATGGTCACCTTATCTTTGATAAAGAAGGTAGGAATGTACAGTGGAGAAAAGAGAGCTTCTTCAATAAGTGGTGCTGGGAAAACTGGACAGCTACATGTAAAAGAATGAAATTAGAACACTCCCTAACACCACACACAAAAATAAACTCAAAATGGATTAAACCTAAATGTAAGGCCAGACACTATTAAACTCTTAGAAGAAAACATAGGCAGAACACTCCATGACATAAATCACAGCAAGATCCTCTTTGACCCACCTCCTAGATAAATGGAAATAAAAATAAAAATAAACAAAAGCGACCTAATGAAACTTCAAAGCTTTTGCACAGCAAAGGAAACCATAAACAAGATGAAAAGACAACCCTCAGAATGGGAGAAAATATTTACAAATAAAGCAACTGACAAAGGATTAATCTCCAAAATTTACAAGCAGCTCATGCGGCTCAATTTCAAAAAAAACAAACAACCCAATCCAAAGATGGGCAGAAGACCTAAATAGACATTTCTCCAGAGAAGATATACAGATTGCCAACAAACACATGAAAGAATGCTCAACATCATTAATCATTAGAGAAATGCAAATCAAAACTACAATGAGATATAATCTCACACTGGTCAGAAAGGCCATCATCAAAAAATCTAGAAACAATAAATGCTGGAGAGGGTGTGGAGAAAAGGGAACCCTCTTGCACTGTTGGTGGGAATATAAATTGATACAGCCACTATGGAGAACAGTATGGAGGTTCCTTAAAAAACTAAAAATAGAGCTACCATACTACCCAGGAATCCCACTACTGGGCATATACCCTGAGAAAACCAGAATTCAAAAAGAGTCATGTACCATAATGTTCATTGCAGCTCTATTTACAATAGCCAGGACATGGAAGCAACCTAAGTGTCCATCAACAGATGAATGGATAAAGAAGATATTGCACATATATACAATGGAATATTACTCAGCCATAAAAAGAAACGAAACTGAGTTTTTTGTAGAGAGGTGGATGGACCTAGAGTCTGTCATACAGAGTGAAGTAAGTCAGTAAGAGAAAAACAAATACCGTATGCTAACACATATATATGGAATCTAAGAAAAAAAAATGGTCATGAAGAACCTAGGGGGAAGACGGGAATAAAGACGCAGAACTACTAAAGAATGGACTTGAGGATAAGGGAGGGGGAAAGGTAAGCTGGGACAAAGTGAGAGAGGGGCATGGACATAAATACACTACCAAATGTAAAATAGATAGCTAGTGGGAAGCAGCCACATAGCACTGGGAGATCAGCTCAGTGCTTTGTGACCACCTAGAGGGGTAGGATAGGGAGGGTGGGAGGGAGGGAGACGCAAAAGGGAAGAGATATGGGGATATATGTATATGTATAACTGATTCACTTTGTTCTAAAGCGGAAACTAACAAAAAATAAAATAAAATAAAACCATAAATGCTCTTAAATATTACCATAAGGACTTCCCTGGTGGTGCAGTGGTTAAGAATCTGCCTGCCAATGCAGGGAACACAGGTTCGAGCCCTGGTGCAGGAAGATCCCACATGCTGTGGAGCAACTAAGCCCGTGCACCACAACTACTGAGCTTTCACCCTAGAGCTCTCGAGCTACAACTACTGAGCCTGTGTGCCACAACTACTGAAGCCCACATGCCTAGAGCCCGTGCTCTGCAACAAAGAGTAGCCCCCACTTGCCGCAGCTAGAGAAAGCCCACGCACAGCAACGAAGACCCAATGCAGCCAAATTAATTAAATTAATTAATTAAAAATATATATTACCATAAGAAATCATCTTTTCTTTGAATTTTAGCATAGAATATACTTAAGGTTTCCCTACCTTTGGATAATGTTGGCCCCTTTATACTTACCATATAATTTTCCTTTTAAGTATTCTGCAATTAATGGCACAAGTCAAGTACAGTATACTTTTAATCAAGTATGGAAATATTTTCTGACATACTTCATTTCTATTTCTGTCACGCCCCTCTCCCTCATACTGCCCTCTCCACTTACAATATCAAAGAGATTCATACAGAGTGAAGTAAGTCAGAAAGAGAAAAACAAATATTGTATATTAATGCATATATTTGGAATCTAGAGAATTGGTATAGATGACCTTATTTGCAAAGCAGAAATAGAGACACAGAGGTAGAGAACAAATAACAAGGGGGAAAGGGATGGAGTGGGAGGAACTGGGAGATTGGGATTGACACATACGCAGTATTGATACTATGTATAAAGTAGACAATTGAGGGGAACATACTCTATAGCACAGGGGACTCTACTTAATGCACTGTGGTGTCCTAAATGGGAAGGAAATCCAAAAGGCAGGGGATATATGTATAATGTATGGCTGATTCATTTTGCTGTGCAGTAGAAGCTAACACAACATTGTAAAGCAACTATACTCCAATAAAAATTAATTAAAAAAACCCCAATATATGTTAAGTGCACGCAACAGGTGACACTCAGCTCCTTATCAGCTCTTCTAGGAGGTGGAGAGACTAAAATGAATATTGTGATGCTTTGCTACCTAGCAGAGGTTAATTTTGCATATCTATTGGTATATTATTTAATACCAGTAAGAAAAACTTTTTGTATATTATTCTGTAACATGTTTATAAAAAGACATCTTATTTTTAATTATTCAATTTTTAAAACCAATCTGTAATAACTGTCCTGAACTAGCTGTGTAAACCTCAAGGGTTTTAAAAATCAAAGTAAAGTGAATATAGAGCATAAATTTATGGTGAAAAACATTAGAGAGCTAATGCATAAACAAGACCTAAATCGGGGCACTATCCTACATTACTGTAGTCATAATGAATAGTGACTCTATAAAATGAGAAACTGTCTGTATCATATGAATACTATTAATGACAGGGCTTTTTAAAAATTATTAAAATGGCAAGAGTACAAATAGCTTTTACCAGTAGTGTTCAGACTGTAATATCAGCATTAAATCAAAGTCTATGGACAGAAACGGTAAGAGATTTAGGAGATGTTAGGGAATAAATAAGGAATAAATAAGGAAACACCACTGAACTTGGTACTCTACATTATAGACAGCTGCCACAGGCAAAAAAATAAATAAATAAAATGGCAATTAAGTTGACTGCAGTATTTTAATATTTTAAAGAAAAACATATTAAAAATACAGACTTTTAAAAAATTTTTACATTCTTGACAGATATAGCATCACCTACCTTTCTAAAAATAGTAAGGGTAAACAATTGTAGAAAATGTATGTTAATTAGTGGTACAACACTATGTATTTAAAAACCCTGACACACTCGTACTATCTACTGCTTTGAAGTTAGATTATGGCCTAGAGTTAATGTCACGTTGGTTCCAAAATGGAATATGGGGTCCCAGGCCAGTATTGGTACACTGCACCTATTGTGGCACAACTTGTCCAGCCATGAAAGCATAAATCACAAAGAAAAAATCAGTTTTGTAAAAACGCTTTTCCCCCTTTTTATAATCTTCTTTATTTACTCCGGAGAGTTAACATAACAGTGTTCAATAGTGAAGTAAGCAGGTTTTACACTCACTATTACTGTATGGATAGAAAGAGACATATGCATTTTTGTTTTTTACAAGTCATCTCAGATCACTGCGATATGGCACATGAAAACAGAGATTCAGAGGCACAACATTAATAAATTCATTTAACATTGTCAAGCATTCAAAAGATAAATGCAATCATATAGCAAGAAAAAAATCAGTTTGAAACTTTGACCTCTCCCAAGGATATGAAGAATCTTTTCACGTGTCAGAAATCTCTATAGCAAAGATTCCTATAAGAGAGAAAAAAATTATGTAGATTAATATTTTCAACTCAATGATTTCATGATGAATAAAAAAATGTGTTCTAATATTAATTTGGTAAGACTTAGGATTTTTCCCTCAGCTTCTGTGTAATAAAACAGATACAATGTATTTTTTCACTCAGTTTTCACAAGCTGTGATACATCCATATCATGGAATACTATGGATTCAACAATAAAAAAGAATGAACTATTGACACACACAACTTAGATGGATCTCCTGGGCACTGTGCTAAGAGAGAAAAACCAGTCTCAAAAACTTACATCCCATGTGTGATTCCATGTATACAACATTCTCAAAAGGACAGAATAATAGAGCTGGAGAAGAAATTAGTGTTTGCTCAGGAATAGGGAGGAGAACGAGAGGACTGTGACCATAAAAGGGTATCATGAAGGAATGAGTTCCTCGGGGCTGATGGAACAATTCAGAATATTGACTGTGGTGATGTCATATGTTCTCTGTGTAAAAAAACTGCACACACACACAAGCACATGTAAAAACTAGTGAAAACTAAATAAGGCCTATAGACTGGTTAATTATGCCAATGTCAGTTTCCTGGCTTGCCATTGGGGAAGCTGGGGGAAGGATATGTGGGACTATCTGTACTATTTTTGCAATTACCTGTGAGACTGCTGTAATGATTTCAAAATAATAAAAAGTAAAACAAAGCAAAACAAAACTGTGTTACAGTCACACAATGGAATATTACTCAGCAGTTAAAAGGAATATCCAATAATATCTGATACATACAACAAGCCGGATAAATCTCAGATATGTAGTGCTGAGTGAAAGTCAGCCACTACTTAACACATGATTCCATTTATATGACAACTTGAAAAGGCAACACTAGAGGAACAAGAAACAGATCAGTGGTTCGGGGAAAGTAAATTAAGTACATTGACTGTTGTCTGGATAATAGGTGGCAGTCAAAGGATACCATTTAAAACTAACAGCAAAAAGTTAAAATTTTTTAAAAAGGGTACTTTAAGGGTACTATTAAAAGTATTAATAGAAAGGTAACCATTATAATGAAACACAAAACTTCTTGAATATCAAAAGAAATGTTCACAAGCAAAGAAGAATAATCAAATAGAGTAAATATCACATAGTAAACGCGGTTATCATAACATAAGATGATATGACACAGTTGAGGCCAAATTTAAGTTATATCAATAAAATGAAGGAGCTTAATTCACCTGTTTTAAAAAAATTTCAAAATGATTTATAAAGCAAAACTCAAATCCATACTATATAGAAGTGAGATACTTAAAATGCAGTGATTCAAAAAAGTTAAAAATAAAGTGATGGACCAAGATCTACCAGGCAAATGGAGACAATAAGGAAACAGGAGTTGTAACTCTAATACCAGACAAAGCAGGCGTCAAGTCCTTCCTCCTTCCAAAAAAATTAAACGCATCAGAAAATAACACTTCATAAAAGCCACATTCACAATAAAGATATGATAGTTCAGAATATCTATGCCACAAATAAAACAGCAAACCACCTATATAAAACAAAATTTATAGGAGACATAAGAAGAAATAAAAACATACTAATAATAGGTTTTAAAACACCATTCTTAGTAAAACAAGTGAACAAAAATTAAACAACATTATAAAAGAACTAAAAATTAAAAAGGCAAATCTTTTAGATATATTACACTATACTCTGATAAGAAAGAATGTATCTTCTCAAGTGCACATGAACTGTTCACAAAAATTGATCATGCAGTAAAGTACAAAAAAAATCAGTAGTGTCCATAAAATAGAAATATTATAGACAATAGTCTCTGATCACAATGCAATAACACTCAGAATTAAAAATGAAACCAAAACCAACAAACAAAAAAGCTCTTCTCATTGAAAATTAAAAGATTTTCTATCAAATAACTCTTGGGTAAAAGTGAAAATACAAACAGAAATTACAGAATTTATGAAAAATAATGATCACAAAAACACCATATATCAGAATCTATGGGATATATTTAAAGCAGTGATCACAGAAAAATTCATAGCTCTGAATATCTACATCAATAAAAGTGAAAGAATGGTAATAAATGAATTAAATTTCTAACTCAAAACTCTAGGGAAAAAAACCCAACAAAGTAAATGAAAAAGCACAAGGAAGGAAATAATATAAATAAAAACAGAAATTAATAAGAAAGAAAAACAGATTAAATCAATAAATCAAAATGCTTGTTCTTTGAAGCAATGAACAAAGTAAACAAACCATAGGCTAAGGTAATCAACAAAAAAAGGAAGAAACATACAAATAAGAAATGACAAAGGATATAACTATTGATACAGAAGAAATTTTAAAATTTATAAGATATTGCATTGGTTACTTCTGTGCAAATAAATTTGAAAACCTAGATAACTGAAAGCCTAGATAACTTTTAGGCAAATAGAGATAGAAAGCTTAAAAAGACCAATTTCCAAAGAAGCAATAGAGGACTTCCCTGGTGGTGCAGTGGTTAAGAATCCGCCTGTCAATGCAGGGGACATGGGTTCGAGCCCTGGTCCGGGAAGATCACACATGCCGTGGAGCAACTAAGCCCGTGCGCCGCAACTACTGAACCTGTGCTCTAGAGCCCGCAAGCCACAACTACTGAGCCTGTGTGCCACAACTAGTGAAGCCCACACACCTAGTGCACATGCTCTGCAACAAGAGAAGCCACAGCAATGAGAAATCCGCGCACTGCAACGAAGTAGCCCCTTCTCACCGCAGCTAGAGAAAGCCCGCGTGCAGCAATGAAGACCCAACGCAGCCAAAAATAAATTAATTAATAAATTTAAAAAAAAAAGTCGTGTCAAGGCTTTAAAAAAAAAAGAAGCATAGAAAAAGTTATTAAGGAAGTACATCCCACAAAAAAAAAAGAACCAAGGCCACATGGTTTGACAGGTAAACTCACCCAAATCTTTAGAGATCAAATAATCCCCAACTATATAACTTGTTTCAAAGCACGGTAAACAAAAGATTTTCAAATTCTTTTTTTGAAACAAATATAACATTTATATCTAAACTTGATAAAAATAGCACAGAGAGAAAATTACAGACCAATATCACTTACGAATATTGATACACAGATCTAAAATAAATGAAATAGTGAACACCAAGAAAATAATATACTATGACCAAGTAGGGGCTATGCCAGAAATTCAAAGATGGTTCAGTACTTGAAAATCTATTAATATAATTCACATATTAATAGTTCTAAAGAGAAAAACCATATCTTCATAGATGATAAAAAGGCCCTTGACAAAAACATCCTTTCCTAATAAAAAGTCTTGAAAAAATAGTAATGAGTAGTATTTCCTTAATATCATAAAACATATAAACCTCAATCCTAAAGCCAGTATCTTACTTAATGGGCAAACCCCACTGGCATTCCCACCACAGGTCAGAATTAAAACAAGAATGTCCACTTCAGTACGCGGGCCTCTCACTGTTGTGGCCTCTCCCGTTGCGGAGCACAGGCTCCAGATGTGCAGGCTCAGCAGCCATGGCTCATGGGCCCAGCCGCTCTGTGGCATGTGGGATCTTCCCGGACCGGGGCACGAACCTGTGTCCCCTGCATCGGCAGGCGGACTCTCAACCACTGCGCCACCAGGGAAGCCCCAAGAATGTCCACTTTTGCTACAGCTATTTATCATTATTCTGATGATACTGGCAAATGCAGTCAACTAGAGAATACAATTCAAGAGATACATATAGGAAAAGAAGAAATAAAATTATCTCTTTTTGCAGGTGACATGATAGTATATCTAGAAACCCCTAAAGATTCAATTACAAAACTTAATGAAAAAGTAAAAGAATTTAGCAAGATAATGTGATAGAAGAGAGAGAGAGAGAGGAAGGAACAAGTGCAAGAATGTGAGTGCGTGAGACAGCATGTGTTGTCTAAACACAGAAAAGGCAAATGCGGTAAAATTTTAATAATAGTGAGTATGGGTAAAGGGTTGCACAGATGTTCTTTGTATTATTTTTTTTTTAACTTCTTGTAACGTTGAGATTATTTCTAAATAAAAATGTTTTTATGAAATTTGTGACATACAGGAATATATCTAAAATATTTTCCTCTGAAAAATTAGCCTATTATTTTCCTGAAGTATATGTATTTTATGGTGCTGTAATAATTAGCCAATATTTTGTCAATGAAAGTATATGAAAAAACTGTATGATGTAGAAAAGAAAAGAAAATCAGATTTTAAAAATATAATTTATGTAGACATTAGATAAAATAGACCTTTCTTTAACATATTTATATAAAACTAATTATCAAAATACTTTATTTTTATGTCTACATATCTAATTATGTAATGATGTTTAAATAGCACTATTAATGGTAGACTGTTACAGAGTTTTCTTACCCCCTCAGATATTCAGTTTTTATTGCTATATGGTTCCCGAAGAATGGATCCTAAACCACTTACTCTTCTACTGATCGATCCAGGCCTCGGTCAGGAGATCGATGGTGAGAACGTTCTGGTGAGTGACATTTTGTATTTGGCTTTATTGTGGAACTCAAATGATAAGCATTACTTGAGTAATTCTGGCGGCGAAGTTCTTGCACAGCTCTTTCCCTAAAGCAAAACAGTGAGACTTTTACTAAACTTTATATCCAGCGACATTATTAACACTGTCGTAGAACTATAGTTCAAATCATGCTTTAAAATCTAAGCATCATGAAATAACCAAAATCTGTGGTTATCCAAGGAACAATGCTTTCCAGGCTGAACGTGGCATAGAGACACACTTACCTTTCAAAGCGCTCTGTCCCTAGTTGTCTCTTGGTAATGTCTAAATCAGCTTCCAACTGCGTTATGGCGTTCCTGAACTGGGCCACATCTCTACTCTGGATGGCCCTGTGTAAAAGAATGTGAGTGACAGTTAATTACAGGTAAAATATGGCTAGGACTCCTAGAGTACATGAAACCATGTTGGCAATGGTTTCTCAGCTGGATCCAAGCAAAATTGTCATTTTCATAGATGTATTAGTGCATCTAAAATATGCCAGCTTTAGATGTAGTAAATGTGCAAAGTAGCCTACTAAAAGCCTAAGCTGTCCCAGCCCCATTCAATTAGTTAAACCTTTTCTGTTTCAGTTTCTTTATGTTTAGAGGGGTACTATTATCTATTATCTACCTATATTACTTATTTACTGCAGATCATTTTTACAAGTGTACTTTAAGGTATTAGGTGCATATTCCAGTGCATATAATACTAGAATTCACTAGCACCATGATGAATGTGTGTGTATATATGTACATTTAATTGACCAAATGCCTTATATATACTTGCAATGAAATTTGATATATCTACTGTTAAAAACAAAATCTCTTCAATTTAACAGGATCTTCCTTAGGGCTAAACACTGCCTCAAAAACCCTGTGATAAGGCATACTACCATGAGGCAGATGACAGAGGTGAATGCTTCTTGCACAGAACATTCTATCCTATCTGCTGGCTTTCAGGACTGCATTACAGACTGCTGGAGTCTAAAATTTAGAGACTAAGAACACACAACTTTATCAAGCTTACTTGATACTACTCACCAGCCAGTCTAAAACAGAATGTACCCCTTAAGGTGGGAGAGTCGGCACATTTCACTGAGGCAATTTCCATCTACGGCTTGAGGAAATGATCCTGCAGAACTGGTTGAAGGTACCCCAAAAGCCCAGCTGCAGTGATTGAAAAGAATGACTCAATCACAGCTGCCAAAACCTAAAATCAGTTTCTAAAGGAAACGGGCCCTGGCTTTGCAGCCTTTGCTTAGTCGGGGCTCCTACAAGTAGCTGATTCCTGAGACCATGATTCCTGTCCTTCCCCACGTCCCCTGCTCGGATGGGAGGGCAGAGTTGAGGCTGGATGAAAAAGTGTTATAGGTTGGACAGATAAGAACAGAGGCTAAAGGTCCCCATGAAGTTTTGTGAGAAGTGAGTTTAATAATAAAATATTAAGTTTAATAATAAAATATTTTAATAATAAAATATTAGGGCTTCCCTGGTGGCGCAGTGGTTGAGAATCCGCCTGCCGAGGCAAGGATCACGGGTTCGTGCCCCGGTCCAGGAAGATCCCATATGCCGCGGAGCGGCTGGGCCCGTGAGCCATGGCCGCTGAGCCTGCGCGTCCGGAGTCTGTGCTCCGCAACGGGAGAGGCCACAACAGTGAGAGGCCCGCGTACCGCAAAAAAAAAAAAAAAATACTAATAATAATAATAAAATATTAGTTTAATATTTTAATAATAAAATATTCACTATGTTTAATAATAAAATATTCACTATGCAGGCAGGCATTTCCACCTAATCCTCCAGTCTTGTAAATAAGGTGCTAACGGTACTAGGGATTCTTAAAATAAAAAGTCAAAATCAGGGCTTCCCTGGTGGCGCAGTGGTTGAGAGTCCGCCTGCCGATGCAGGGGACACGGGTTCGTGCCCCGGTCCGGGAAGATCCCACATGCCGCGGAGCGGCTGGACCCGTGAGCCATGACCGCTGAGCCTGTGCGTCCGGAGCCTGTGCTACGGGAGAGGCCACAACAGTGAGAGGCCACAACAGTGAGAGGCCCGCGTACCACAGAAAAAAAAAAAAAAAAAAAAAAAGTCAAAATCAATGCTCTGGGGGAAGTCTTCAGCATTCTGTAAATGCAGCAGTTCTTCCAGGTAACCAGCATACACTTACAGGTACATAGGGAAATATTATGTGGCAAATGGAAAGACGGTAGCACTATCAGGTGAGTCCATAAATGGAAAAATTCTTCTGGTTTCAGAAGTGCTTAATTTCTTCTAATCTGGTTATTTCCTAAAGGCAATATGTTAGATCAGTAGGTGTTCATTTATACCCAAACAATCAACAAAGATGGTTAAACTTAAATTTAGATAAATTTAGATAAACATATAATAGAAATAAGTACTAAATCTTAGACAAATCACAATATTTGGGGTCCTCAGTTTAATTAATAGCAAATTATGACACTAAATTGTCTAAACGCCAGCTTTGAAATTCTATTAATCTATAAAGTACCAAAACTTTAGAAATATGACTTTATGTTATCATATTGCTAACCAACTCACATTTTACTTTCTGCCAAACAAAGGTGTTCTTTAAGAAGCTGAATTTCAGATTCTTTTTCTTGAAGTGCTATCTGAGACTGATATTCTTTGTCTCGATTGGCCACCAGCAAAGCTTCTAGATTCTGCATGGAGATTCTCTCATTTGTCATCTGACTCCTGAGGAGTTCTATTTCAGAACGAGCAGAATCCAACTCATTCTCCATCTGTACAATAATAGGAAGATACCTATACTTATTCCTATTCGTTCACTTAACTGATGTATTATCAGAGACTCATAAAATGTCTGTATTATGTTATAAACTGACAATCACTTTTAATTTCTTGATTAGAAATTGTGTCCTCCTTCTTATCAGATACACACACGCACACACACTGAGTATCACTTTCCCCAACTCTCTGATAATATCAGAAAGTTCATTAATTTAAGTAAAGAGTTATTAATCTCAAACTTCAAACAATTTCCATTTCCAGCTTTGATATTTCTTATTTCTGCAAGACTGACATGGTAGTATCTGTAACTACTGCTTTGTCCTGAGTTGGGTGAATTATAAACACCTAATTTCCTGACGGAATGTCATCGCGCTTCATAGTTAAGAAAGATAAGGAGTAATTGCACATTCCCTCTCTTGCATGATCCTGTGGAAAACTTCACTTTTTGAAGGTTATCTTGAGCCTAAAATACGTTCTATAAGCCAAATGTTTCTTCAAAAGGAGAAAAACCAGACATTATTTAGAAAAAAATTATTCCTTATCTCATAATACATATTATAATAATTTACATATGCATTAAAAAAGTTAAATGTTGGGCTTCCCTGGTGACGCAGTGGTTGAGAGCCCGCCTGCCGATGCAGGGGATGTGGGTTCATGCCCCAGTCCGGGAAGATCCCACATGCCGCGGAGCGGCTAGGCCCGTGAGCCATGGCCGCTGGGCCTGTGCGTCTGGAGCCTGTGCTCTGCAACGGGAGAGGCCACAACAGTGAGAGGCCCGCGTTCCGCAAAAAAAAAAAAAAAAAAGTTAAATGTAAAAGGATAAAACCCTAAGAAAAAAAAGTTAAATAAAAATGAAATTATTAGGAAAGGGGTGGGCAGGTAGGGGAAGAACTTTTTAGACTAGATACAATTAAAAAATTATGTCTGACTGTAGAAAAAAACATATTTATACTCATTATAAAGAAACAAAATTTACGAGGAAAAAAACAGATGAAAATAAACTCAGTAAATAGTTAATATCTTATTAATATAAGGAAGATGAACAAACTGCGGAGAAATATGAACTAATGATGTGAACAGAAAATGTACAAGATACAGCTAATTAGTAAACATATAGAATAACTTACCCTTACTAATAATCAAAGAAATAGAAATTGAATCAAGACGGTATTTCTAGTCCAGGATTTCTTAACTTTGACACTACTGATCTTTTGGGTTGGACATTTATTTGGGGTAGGGAGTTGCCCTATGCATTACAGGATGTTTAGTGGCATCCCTGGCCTCTACTTACCAGAGATCCACAGCATCCCCCAACCCTGGTTGTGACAGTCAGAAATGTCTACAGACATTGCTAAGTGTTTCCTGGGGAGCAAAATCTCTTTCAGGTGAACCAATGTTGTAGTTTATCAAACTGGCAAATTTCTTAGCTTTTGTGTCGATTAACATTAAAATGGGCAATGGCAATCTCATATACCTTGCTTGCAGGAATATAAAATGGAGCGTCACATTTTTGGTAACAGCTTTATTGGAATATAATTCACATACCATACCACTTGCCCATTTAAATTGTACAAGTCAATGGTTTTTAGTACATTAACAGAGTTGTATGATCATACCACAATCTCACAACCTATTGTGAGAACTTTTTCATCATCCCCAAATGAAACCCAGCACACATTAGCAGTCATTCCCCCACTCCTACCCCAGCACGAGCCCTAGACAATCCCTAATCTATTTTCTATCTCTATGATCTGCTTTATTTTAAACATTTCATATAAATGGAATCATACAATGTGTGTGTGGTCTTATGGGACTGCCTTGCTTCACTTAGTGTAATGTTTTCAAGAGTCATCCATGTTTTAGCAGGTATCAGTACTTCATTACTTCTATTGCCAAATAATATTCCCTTGCATAGATGTAGGAATATTTGAGTTATTTACACTTTTTGGCTATTATAAATAATGCTGATAAGAACATTTGTGTATACATTTTTACATGGACCTATGTTTTCATTCTTCTTTGATAAATAGGAGTGGGATTTCTGGACTTTACGGTAATCCTATTTTTTCACATTTCGAGGAACTGCCAAAATGTTTTCCAAAGAGGCCTATTTTACATTCCCACCAGCAATGTATGAGGGTTCCAAGTTTTCTACATCTTTGCCAACATTTGCTATTGTCTTTTGTAAATTATAGCCATCCTAGTGGTTATGAAATGGTATAGTTTTGCTTTGCATTTCTCTGATTATTAATGATGTTGAGCATCTTTTCTTGTGTGCTTTTTGCCCATTTATGTAGTGTCTATAGAGAAATGTCTATTGAGATCCTTTCCCCATTTTTTGAGTTGGGTTATTACTAAGTTGCAAGAGTCCTTTATATACTCTGGATACAAATCTCTTATTAGATATATGATTTGCAAATGTTTTCCCCATTCTGTGCATTGTCTTTTTACTTTGTTGATATCATTTGCAGCACAAAAGTTTTTTATTTTGATGAAATCCTTCTAATCTATTTTTTCTTCTGTTGTACTTTTGATGTGACTCTAAAAAAGCATTACCTAACCCAAGGTCACACAGATTTATTTGTATGTTCTCTTCTTAAGAGTTTTATAATTTTAACTCTTACATATAGGCCTATAAAACATTTGAATTTAATTTTTGTATATGGTACGTGATAGGAATCCAACTTCATTCTTCTCCATGTAGATGTTTAGTTGTCCCAGTAGCATTTGTTGAAAAGACTATTCTTCCCCGATTAAATTGTATTGCTACCAATTTTTTGGAAATCACTTCACCACAAATGTAAGAGTTTATTTCTGGACTCTCAATTCTGTTCCACTGACCTATATATCTTTCCTTATGCTAGTACTACACTGTCTTGATTACTATAGACAGTTTTGACATTGGGAAGTGCTCTGACTTTGTTCTTCTTTTTCAAGATTGTTTTGGCTATTCTGGGTCACTTGCACTTCCATATTAATTTTATGTCATCTTGTCGGTTTCAATGAGGAAGCCAGCTGGCATTCTAATACGCATTGTATTGAATTTGTAGACCAATTTGGGGTAGTACTGCCATTTTAACCGTGTTAAGTCTTCTGATCCATGGATGTGGGATGTCTTTCCTTTTATTTGGGTCTTTAATTTCTCTCTCTCTCTCTGTCTTTCTCTCTCTCTCTCTCTGTCTCTCTCTCTATCTCTCTCTCTCCAAACTGGAAATAACAGATGTCCTTCAAAGGATGAATGATTAAACAAACTACATTACAGGAATGAACCACTAATATATGCAACAACCTGGATGAATCTTCAGAGAATTATGCTGAGTGAAAAAATCCAATCCCAAAAGTTTACATATCGTATGATTCTATTATCTATATAACATTCTTGAAGTGACAAAATGTACAAGTGGAGAACAGATTAGCTGTTTGTTTCCAGGGGTTAAGGAGAGGTTGTGGATAGGAGGGGAGTAGATAGCGCTAAAAAAGGGCAACATGATGGGTCCTGTGATAGAAATGTTCCATATCTTGCCTGAAACAATGTCAAAAGCCTGGTTGAGATATTATACTATGGTTTTGCAAGATGTTACCATTGGGGGAGGCCAGGTAAAGGAGACACAACATTTCTTTGTATAGTTTCTTATAATTGCATGTGAATCTACAATTATCTCAAAATCAAAAGTTTAACTTAGAAAAATTATTTGACTGTCCCTTATATGCATAGTACAGCTGAAGAAATACAAAGATAAATAAGATAGTTCTTGCACTTGAAATACAGCTTATTATGGGGATAAACATAAATATATAAATAACTAAATTCTAAGGCAAAAAAATTTATGTCAGGAGTATTTAAAAATACTATGAGAATTAGCCTGATGACTTCACACCCATCTGGAGAGTTATTAGCAAAAGAGAGAGAGAGGTTGGGGGAAGAAGGGAGGGAGGGAGGGGGTAGAGAGAGAGAGAGAGAAAGAAAGAAAGAAAGAAAGGAAGAAAGAAAGAAAGAGAAAGAAAGAAAGAAAGGCTGAAAAACAAGTGTTGGCAAGGATGTAGAGAAATTGGAACACTTGTGCACTGTCAGTGGGAATGTAAAATGGTACAGCTGCTTTGGAAAACAGTATGGAGATTCCTCAAAACATTAAAAATAGAATTACCATATGATTACCATATGATCCAGAAATCCAACTTCTGGGTAGAGACCCAAACAAAATGAAAGCAGCATCTTGAAGAGAGATTTATACCCCCATGTTTATAGCAGCATTATTCACAATAGCTAAAACATGGAAGCAACCCAAGTGTCCACAAACTGACAAATAAATAAGCAAACTGTGGTATATTCACACAATGGAATATTGTTCAGCCTTAAAAAGGAAAGAGAGGGTGGAGTCAAGATGGCAGTGTGGGAAGATGTGGAGTTAGCTTCTCCCCACAACTAGGGTGCCTGCTGGCCGCTGGTGGGGGACTCTGACACCCAAGGAGATGGGAGGAACCCCAAAGTGAACCAGTAGGATGTAGGGGGACTGAGGGGGGAGGAGAAGTGGAGGACAGACAGGATCCGTGCCCCCTAAGGCCAGGGAGATCAGGAGAGGCAGGTGGGGGGGACTCTCCCAGAAGAGAGGGAGAGGAGCGGAGGGCCATCGCCTGGCCCACTAGGGCCGGGGAGCCTGCTGAGCTCCCAAGCTGGTTTCCCCTATCCAAAGCCCGATCCAGGCCACATGCATCCTTGGGGGCATAGCAGGGAGGCTGGAGAGATCAGGAGATGCAGGTGGGAGAGGCCATCCAGGAGGAGCAGGAGAGGAGTGGAGGATGATTGCCCTGCCCACTCGGGCCCAGGGAGGCTGCTGAGCTCCCAGGCCGGTCCCCTGCCCTCCAAGGCCGCCCACACCTCATTGGTCCTGGGGACATAGGGAGGGAGGCCGGGGAGATCAGGAGAGGCAGGTGGGAGGGGAAGAGCAGGAGAGGACGGGAAGAGCAGGAGAGGAGAGGAGGAAGAGCAGGAGAG